GTCTTTGTTAAAACGTGTTCAACTTTTTACTCATACCTTTCTCGCATTGTATTTTTAGTGTTGGACGAACTCGTTTAAATGATCCATTGGCATCTACACAACAACCATACGATACAAGAGCGGGGACAACAAAAACCGCGACAGCCACTTTCTCAGGTATATGCAACCAAAAAGAATGATGCGAAGTATTGTCAAGATGCTAAAGTGTAACAGTTCTCGAAAAAGTTTGCAATGTTAATACCTTCGCATAAGAAAAAAGCCGCTTAGTTGAAATTTGTAGAAGCTAAAAGTTGTAGGACAGTATAGCGAACATCGAGACCAGCTTACTGTTAATTTATGCACCAGCAAACGATTCATTTATTTTCAGAATACAAACATTGTACAATCGATACCACAAAATCATGTACCTTCCCCATTTCGACCTTCGTTTCAACCCAGGATTCGACATGACATGCGACATAAGATTCAAAATTGTATTCGAACACCAACACAAACACCTATTCGACTGCCATCTCAAATAATACAACAAATTTACCGGTACAACAATCAACAGTAGCAGTGTCACCAGAAGAATCACCTAACAGAGAAGAACGTTCAAATATTGAAGATGAGTGGTTGAATATTCAAGACGAATGTTTACTTATTGAAGGTGATCATTCGAATATTCAACAACGAAACACAAGCAAATACAAATGAAGCACCGATGCCACGTGAAGATCCATTGTCATCAAACATCTGCCATTGATGACTTAAAATCAAAATCAAATAACGAAGTTTCAACAAGAGGACAACAAGAGCAATTATATTCATCGTTAGATGAACAAACAACAGTAGTACAGTCTGTGGCACCGATACCACAAATTAGAACTGATGTTCCCATTCCTCCTATGGCAATTGATGTGAATTTAATTATGATGAATATTATCGAAAAACTAGCCAAAGTTCCCACGAAAGTCCGTGAAAAGACATGGGAATATTTTGAGAAGGTAGCAGCGGGTTTAGAAAATAATACAATTGCTGTAACTTATTATCTTTATTTTTATTGCAACTAGTTGAAATATTCCTGTGATCAGAGTTTTCAAACAAATCTTTCTCGACTCTAATTCACACTGTTTGAATGTTATAGGTTGAAAATTTTCCAGATTTGATACGTCGACCACCTCTAGCTACATCTCAATCATAGATTTCTCGTGAAAGGCGACAACCACAATCTGAACCACATTCATTTGATTCAACTTTTGACACGAATCAATCAACTACTGACGTGGCTTCTACTCCAACAATACCATTAACAAATACTCGACAAAAAGAAACACTCACTTCATTTCGTCCATCAATGCTTCGAAATCATTCAAACACAGAACAACCTCGGAGAAAAGTTGCATCGTATCAACCTAGTCAACAAACAGCAACAACAACATCATTTCGATCATCGTCACGTGGAACATCACCCAAACGCCTGTTAACAATAAACGACGTAAATCGGTATTATGATGATGAAGAACAACCGACAGAACGAAAAAGAAGAGTGCCACCACCTAGAACGAGAGTGAACAACGTCTTGAGTCGTATTGAAGATATGGTTGCTCCAATGGAGCGATACATTCAACGACACATAGCACCATCCACTTCTTACAAAGAAGACGATGAGGAAAATTTGTGGTAAAATTGATCTTCATAAAAGGTGATTTGTAATAGTAGTACTAATACAATAGAATAATTCAGATTTTCAGACGTGTCCTTTGAAAACGTCTGTATCACCGAAACCGAAGGAGACGAAGGTCTGGATCTTACGTGCTTTTGAGGAGTGATGTTCTGGTTATCGACGGGTGTTATTTGAGATTGGATTTCATAGTGTAATTTTGGAACGGTAAGCTTTCGGATTTTGTCTCGAATGGTACTTCATGGTAAACCTTATCGGAAGCCCTGATTCTTTCATAGATGGATGTGCTGGTGTCTAAAAGTGAAAACCGCAGATCGCTATCCCCTTTCGTTCTCGAGTTATTCGACCCGCAATCACTCGCCTTCTATTTTGAAATGGATAGTAGTTGTTAATGCTAACTTTTTAACAAATACTAGTACAGAATAACTACATGTAGATTCAGGTTGGAATCAATTCAAACAAATACCAGTTGAAATATTTGAATTCATAAGTGAATTGATAAAAGTGTAGAAGCAACAAGTATACGTTTTAATACCAAAAAAGCTAGAATCATCCGATGCCATGTTAATAAACAAAATATAATGAAATTTGCAAACAAGCAGTCATAGAAACAAGATTTATTTTATATAACCTACATGATCCCGATTTATTGAAAGTTGATGAGGTCCAGAAAAAGCATCGTCCAGAGCTGAGAGACGTCTTATTTTGGGCACAAATGTTTGTGCTACAAACTAGGATAACTGGTATTCAGTTTGCTTTAGAATTTTCAGCACTTCAGTATAGCACATTTCTGAAGATCATATTTTCAACACTTTTAGCTTATAAAAGTGTCAGAAGAGTCGAACGAAGCAGGTACTGGCATTGTGATCTTCTTATCCTTTGCATTTATGATTTGTGGGGATGAGCCGTGTAGGATGTACGATCTACTTACAGATTCAGAATGTTTTTGACTTCCTGATCTTCTGATCTTGCACAAGTCATAAAAAAGTGAGACGAAGCTGAATTCGAGCACGATATGTTCTTACATGAAGATGAATGCAGTGTCTACATAGTGTGCAGATCTGGCGTAAAATGTTGATTAGTGACAAACTGTTGATTTCATCACATGAATTCTCGCTATTGTAGAGACACTAGAAGAAGTGGTGAAATACTGTAGTAAATGGTGTGTACATTTTGTAGCATTTTGAAAAACTATGATGCTATTGTCTAACCTTTTTTAACCAGCAGTCTTATATCATTCAGAGCTTCAAACCTGGAAATTTTCATGCCAGTTCAAGAAGTCAATGCAGTCCCTGTGAGATCATCTATGAGTCATTTTTAATAAATTAAGCCCGTATGCAAGAACTATCACTTTTCAAAGGAGAAACTTTTGATCATTAATGATACATGCCCTGTCCTTATTTGTAAAATTTTCTCCCCTGTTTCATACAAAACTGTTCGCACTCAGAAGTGTTCAACGTTCCACATGGCGTACAATTACTTTACGTCTTCTAACCTTTCTCGAAATAAACTATGATCTATATAGAACAACATTTTGAATTGTCTGAACACTCTTGAATACACCGAGTCATTGTTACACATGGGCACTAATTTTACCAGAAGCTACGGCACCATTGGATCCCGTAGTTGTTTTGATGTAACACTCCAAATTACTTAAAACGTAGACAAACGTCGTGCAACTGGCTGTGCTAAGACACCAGGCACAACATACAGCATAAGTCATCGGTAGTTAGGGTCCGGCGGGATGAAGTTTTTTCGTCCCGATCCCGGTCCCGTTCCAACTGGACTAAACCCGTCCCGATCCCGATCCCGCCCCAACTGGACGCAGCCCGTCCCGCGCCCGCACCCGTTTTTTTTAAC